CCCTCGCTGAGCCCTCTCTTTGCTTCGGCAGCTGGTACTGGACGAGAATGTGCGCGGGGTGATCACCATGAACGAAGAGTACGAGACAAGATTCCTGTGCAACACCGCGAAGGTGAGGACCGAGGGCCCGCCAGCCTGGGCCAGTATTCGGGCCTGTGGGAGACGCTGCCGGGTGCCTGTCTCTCCCGGACAAGTGTCAGAGACCTAGTTGCCTTCTCGTGCCCTGAGTATGCCCGTCAAGGTAAATGGCTGCAGGTGAAAAGTTGATAAGCCAGAAGGAAGTCTGCGAGCCTGGAGCTCTGGCGACTCAGGTGGCTGAGGCAGAATCTTTAGAGTCCCTGAGTTCAAAAGTGCCTTGGGCACTGTTTGAAAAAGAGAGCGAGCTAATCCAGTTGGGTGGCTCACTGCTGGAATTCCAGCTAGCACAGGCAAGAGAAAGGATTGCTGGAAGTTCCAGGCCAACATGGAGTTCTGCACCAGACAGGGCACAAGCAAGCCCTTCAAAATCGGGACCAGGGGTGCAGTGCTTTATGCACAAAATTGTAAACGTATATGTTACTTTGCATTTGTTGTTTATTTTTGAGACAGGGTCTAAAGTCAATAATTAACTTGATCTGATTAGGTTCCCTCCACTTTCCAAGTACTGAGATTATAGGCATGTGCTAATACACCCGTCTTGTATTTGTGATTTTGGTAACTAAAATTGTGACTTACATGCCTTGTCTATTTTTATTCATTCTCATTCAACACTTATTTGAGCACCAATTGGCAATGTGTTAGTTAGCTTTGGAGATGAAGGCCAACTCTAAGAAAAGCACCTCCTTTTAAGAGGGGGTGTGGCTTAGCTGAAACCCTCTGGAGGCTGAGGCAAGAGGATCTCTGAGTTTGAGGCCAGCCTGGTCTACAGAGTTCCTGGGCATCCAGGGCTACACCGAGAAACCCTGTCTCGAAAAAACAGAAAAAATAAATATAAGGAGGGGGCCAGGCGTTGGTGGCCCACGCCTTTAATCCCAGCACTCGGGAGGCACAGGCAGGCGGATCTCTGTGAGTTCCAGGATAGGCTCCAAAGCTACACAGAGAAACCCTGTCTCGAAAAACCAAAAAAATAAAAAAAATATGCAAACAAGAGGTAAGGGTGGCTCATACCTGTAATATTAGCACTCTGTGTGTGCGGCTGGGAGTATCAAAAACTTGAGGTTAACCTGGGCTACATGAGGTTACATCTAAAAGCAAAGTCACACAGATAAGAAAAGCACACCCCCACTGGGCGTTGGTGGCGCATGCCTTTAATCCCAACACTCGGGAGGTAGAGGCAGGTGGATCTATGTGATTTCGAGGCCAGCCTGGTCTACAAGAGCGAGTTCCAGGACATCCTCCAAAGCCACAGAGAAACCCTGTCTCGAAAAACCAAAAAGAGAGGAAAAAAGAAAAAAGAAAAGCACACCCCTTCCAGGATTGGGCATAGTGGCGCACCTTTAATCCCAGCGTTTGGGGTGCCAAGTCAGGTGAATACCTGAGTTCGAAGCCATTATGGTCTACATAGTGAGTTACAGGACAGCCAGGGCTATGCAGAGAAACCCTGTCTTGAAAAAGAAAAGAAAGAAAAACTGCACTGCAGAGCAGGCTGGGGATTTGTTTCAGTTGATAAAATGCTTGCCTAGTATATAGGAAGCCCAGTTCAGAATAAAAACCAGGTGTGGTAGTGGTGCAGGACCTATAATCCCAGCACCAGAGGCAGAAGCAAGATATGAGTTCAAGACTAACAAAGGCTATATGAGGCCCTTTCTGAAAAAAGAAAAAAGGGGAACAAAAGAGTATGTCACTCTTCCTTGAATTTCCCCAAGTACTGTCACAAGGTCTCAGAGTTAATATTCACTAATGTGGTCAGTTGTTTTTGTTAGTCTAAGGACATAATGTGGTCAGTTGTATAAATCGAGGGGTGACTGAAGCTACACAGACAAAGCTTGGTCTCTCATTGTGAGGCACTGTCATTTGCTGTTAATTTAAATTAAAAACAATCTTATTTTACATATCAATTCCAGTTCCCTCTCCCTCCCATCCTCCCATGCCCTCTACCAATCCCCATCCACTCCTCAGAGAGAGTGAGGCCTTTCATGGGGGATCTTCAAAGTCTGTCACATCATTTGGGGCAGGGTCTAGGCCCTCCCCTGTGGTTCTAAGATGAGAGAGTATCTCTCCATGGGGAATGGACTCCCAAAGTCCATTCGTCCACTAGGAATAAATACTGGTTCCACTGCTAGAGGCCCCACTGCTAGACTGCCCAGGCCTCTTAATTGTCACCCATGTTCAGGGGGCCTGGTTTGGCACCTGTCTTTTTTTTTTGTTTTGTTTTTTGTTTTTTGTTTTTCTAGACAGGGTTTCTCTGTGGCTTTGGAGGCTGTCCTGGAATTAGCTCTTGTAGACCAGGCTGGTCTCGAACTCACAGAGATCCGCCTGCCTCTGCCTCCCGAGTGCTGGGATTAAAGTCGTGTGCCACCAATGCCCAGCTGCAGCTGAGTTTTTTAACATTGATTTTTGTTGTTCTGATGTTTGCTTGTTGTTGTTGTTTTTGAGAAATTCTCACTATGCAGCTCTAGCTGGTCTGGAACTCTTTTTATGCAGACTCAGATTCATAGATGTCCTCGAACCTTGGCCTCCCAAGTGCTGGAATTAGTGTTTGCCACTACACCTTACCAAAGATTCTTTTATTACATGTCTGTGTGGGTAGATACTGGAAACTGAATTCAGTTCCTGGGCAAGATACTAGTAAGTGCTCCTAGCCACTGTGCTTTCTCTCCAGACCCACAGCTGAATTTTATGGAGCTAATATTTTGTAACAAAAGATTGAAGCATCTAGAGAATATTTGAACCATCCCCCCCCCCTCCCCGAGACAGGGTTTCTCGGTTTCTCGGTGTAGCTTTCGAGCCTATCCTGGCACTCTCTTTGTAGACCAGGCTGGCCTTGAACTCACAGGGATCCACCTGCCTCTGCCTCCCGAGTGCTAGGATTAAAGGCTTGCACCACTAATGCCTGGCCTGGCTGAACCTTTTTTTTTTTTCTTTTCTTCTTTTCTTTTTGGTTTTTCGAGACTGGGTTTCTCTGTCTGTCCTGGAACTTAATCTGTAAACCAGGCTGGCCTCAAACTCATCTGCCTGCCTCTGCCTCCTGAGTGCTGATATTAAAGGCTGTGCCACTACTGCCAGCCAAATGTGGGCTATTTTCAAGGCATTTCTGTGTTGTTTTGTTTTCATTGGTATTTCTGTTTTAAGAAAGTTACCTTCTAATAAACCCTGGAACTTGCTTGCTGGGGGACCCCCTCTTCAAACCATTACCTCAGATTCTTTGATTTTCCTTTTTATGCTGGTGGACACGGTTCTAGGAATGGAAGCAAGCAGGAGTTGAGCAGCTACGGCTCAGCACAGTTGACATGACTGGGGTCCCCACCTTGGCCAACCTCCACAGAGGAGTCCAGTTTGCTCTCAAGTACCAGTCAATGGGCCAGTGTGTCTACGTGCATTGTAAGGCTGGGCGATCCAGAAGTGCCACAATGGTGGCAGCATATCTGATTCAGGTAGGAGAAGTATCTCCGGAGTAGCCTCCATATAGATTTCCAAAAGTCCAGTAGCATGCTTTCCTGGCAGGCCTTCCTGGAGAGAACCATTGTCCATTTCCAGCCTGACAGAAGATAATACGGCATGGTGCCAAACACCGAAGCCTTGTGCTCAGGCCAGCTTCTGGTTCTGCCCTTACAAACATGGATTCTCCTCTCTGATGTTGTCTCTTTTGCTTAAATGTGACAGGAAACTTAAATGAGAAGGTATGTCAAAGTGTTTACCTACAGCAGGTCTAAAAAAAAAGTGTTTTTAGAGTCTTCAACCCAGCAGAAGACTGGAAAGTTACTTTTTGTTTGAGGTCGTATGAGATAGTGTCTGGTTATGAGCCCTGACTGGCTGGGAATTCACTATGGAGACTAGACTGGTGCCTGTGTAAATGAGGCTTGCAGCAATCCTCCTGCCTCTGCCTCCGGATTGCTGGGATTTCAGGCATGCACCACCATATCTGGCCCAAACACTTGCTTTAAATGGCATGGCAGGGGACTAGCTCAGTTGGTAGAGTGCTCCTCTAGTGTGCATGAGGCCCTGGGTTTGATTCCCAGCACTGCACAAGACTAAGTGTGGTAACTCACATCTGAATTCCCAACGCTTGGGAGATGAAGGCAGGAGGATGAAGTTGAATGACATCCTCAGCCACAGGGCTATATTGTGAGTTCAAGGCCCAAAACAGCAGGTCTGAAAGCTTAGTGTTACAGACACTAGTGCTGATCACTTCTCACTCTGGCATTTCAGAGTAAAGCTCTGAATATTAGTTTTTGTTGTTCAATACTTAGTATGTGCACAACTGGGGATATTGCTCAGTGGTAGAGTGCTTGCCCAGCATGTGTGAAGTCCTAACTTTATTCCCTGATACTGGTGGGGAAAAAAGAATTATTGATTGGCAAGCAGAATGCTTTAAAATATTTATAAGCAAATGCTTTATAGTCCCTTTATCATTCCCTGCTGTCTTTCCTTTTATAGCTTGACTCATCTTTGCTGGTTCTTGCATAGTGTTTCCAGTCAAGTGGGTAGTTTAAGGAAATAATCAGCTTAGCCCTGTTAATATGGACTATATGTTATTTAACCTACACTTTTCATTATAATCATAGCTTTCATTATAAGTTAAATTCTTCTGGAAGCTGGGTAGGGCTATGCACACCTGTTATTGGAGGCAGAGGATCTCTGCAAGTCTTAAGGCCACACTGCTCTATGTAGCATGAGTTCCAGGTCAACCAGGCAATATATAGTGAGACTGTCTCAAAGAAGACCATAAAGAACAAAAACCTGCTGGAAATAATCTCAGGAGGTACTTGGGTCCAGATGAGAACTGATCCAGAAGGCTAGAACTGCTTTAATCCTGTTGAGTTCTAGATCAGTGTGCATCCTTAAAACACTAAGGTGGCCGGGTGGTAGTGATGAACGCCTTTAATCCCAGCACTCAGGAGGCAGAAGCAGGTGGATCTCTATGAGTTTGAGGCCAGCTTAGTCTACATAGTTAGTTCCAGGACAAATAGGGCTGTTACACAAAGAAACCCTGTCTCAAAAAACCCAAACAAAACAAAAAAAAACACAAAGGTAACCTTCCAAAATTTAAAAACTACTAATTTTTCTAGCTATGGTGATGAATTTCAGAAAAGCATCTATCATATGCTTTTAGAAATTAATTTTTGTGTCTTATGTCAGACTCTCATAGGCTGGCCTCAAAGTCAACTATGTCAGTGAGGATGACCTTGAACTTCTGGCCCTCCTGCCTCACCTCCCAGTCACAGATGTGTATCAAGGCACCCAGTGTACATGGTCCTGGGGCTTGAATCCAGTTTTTCACTCAGACTTGGCAGGCACTTCACCACTGAGCTACACCCCAGCCTACTTTTAGAAATTCTTATTAAAATCCCAGCTCAAAAAGGACAGAGTAGACCTAGGAAATCTGGGGTCTCAGCTTCATGGGTTCAATTCCCGCTCCCCCCCCCCCCAATTTGGCAGAGTAAGAATGAATAGGGTTGTAGGATTGATTGACTGAAGTAGTTAAAGTGCTGCCATGGAAGATGTCCTTTTGTTCTTGACAAGGTATCTGCTCTTACCCTGGCTGGCCTCACACTCTAACAGTCCTATGGTCATGTGATCTCCAGTATACCACACCTGGCAAAGGAACCTTTTTTTATTCCTGGGCATTGAACCCAGGTGACTTAAGCATATTAACCAAACACTCTTATCATTGAGCTATATCCCTAGCACTCTTTTTACTAAAACATGGTTTTAGTCAGTCACCTGGGCTGACTTAGAACTATAACTCAGACAAGCTTTGAAGCATCATCCATGAAAGCACTTTAACTACTTGCCTTAACCTCCTGAGTAACTGGGCTTGTAGGCCTGCACCTCTCAGCCTAGCTGGAGCATGATTTTCTTTTCTTCAGGGGAAGGGGGTGGGTTTCGAGACAGGGTTTCTCTGTAGCTTTGGAGCCTGTCCTGGAACTGGTTCTGTAGACCAGGCTGGCCTCGAACTCACAAAGATCCACCTTCCTCTGCCTGCCAAGTGCTGAGATTAAAGGCATGCGTCACCACTGCCTGGCTGGAGCATGATTTTCAAAGCCCTCTAAAATGGAGTTCTTATTTACTTGAAAAAAAATTATTACTTGAAAAAAATTAGTACATATTATGTATTTTATTTATATGTGCAAGTGTGTGTGGGCATGCCTATACCATGGCACTTATGAGGAGGTTGGAGGGCAACATACAGGAGTTCTCATTTTACCATGTCAATTCCTGGGACCAAACTTTGGTGGAGAGCCAGCCCAAGACTTCTTAAAAATTAATTCTGGGAGTCCTTCAGCACCTGCACCTAGGCCAAGGGCACTGTTATGCTTGCCCCTTCCTTTGTTGCTCATTTTCTCACCTTGTACTTCAGGTGCACAACTGGAGCCCAGAGGAAGCTATAGAAGCTATCGCCAAAATCCGGACACACATCTCCATCAGGCCTAACCAGCTGCAAGTTCTCAAAGAGTTCCACAAGGAGATTACTGCAAGAGCAGCAAAGAATACTGATAACTGATAACATCTCCCACACTGACATTTCAAGACTATGAAGTCTGTGGATGACAAAGAACTTGGCTGTACCCAAGTAAAAAGTTTAAAGGACAAAGGGGCTTAAGCCAGGACAACACCCCGAATATGCTGAGTAATAGATAATGTGCCTCCTTTGCCTTCCTTCCCTGAAATAACACTGTCAGATGGCTACAGAGAACAAGATTGTCTGGCTAAATCTTATTTTCTTCGACAGGGTCAAGGAAATATTAATTTTAACAGAAATCAATTATGTATCTGATATTTTGTGTAATGGCACCATAACAGAAGTTAAATGCTAGAAAAGGAAAGAATAAATACTTAGATCTGTTCTTTGTTACTGTCAGAATCCCAATTTCAATTGTATAACTTGGCAAAATGCTTGCCAGCATGTATAAGGCTACGAGTTTGGTCCCTAGCACTTCCAAAAATAAAAATAACCCGTATTTCCCTGACCCTGTGGGACTCCCCTCACACTTCTGGAGCAGTGATCAGAATGTAAAAGGATGTATATGGGGTGCAGACAGGATTGCTGACTCAGGAATGTCTATAATTAGTTCCCCTTCAGAAGTCACCCTCTCAGGAGTCAACACAGACACATATCACTTCAAAAACTTTTATTTTTATGAACAGTTCCTAACTCTTGATTTAGTTTAGAGCTTTTAAAGGACCAGAGATTGTATATATTTGAGTTTGGAAAAGTTTCTGTTATTAATCAGAAATAATTGTTTCTACTTTCTGGCTTATCTATCCATATAAGCCAAAAATCAAACCAAAGTTTCTTTTCCTGACAGATAGATGGGAAAACATTAGGAGGAGCATCCTGAATTCTAGAGTTGATTCTTGCTGGTGAAGTACATTTTTAACTTAGTTTAACTGTCCCCTCTAAATCCCGAAGGAAAACTCTTAATACTTAATTCTTTGTGGAAAAGTGACAACTAGCCACTTTGCTGGCTATAGACAAAAATGAATGGGCCTCTTTCTGCATGGGAACCAAGATACTTCTATTAACACTGATCTGGTAAGGGGAGGCTGTGCCAAAGTCTGAGAAGAGGCTGGCTCTAAGCAGTCTGAAGTGAGGCACGGGGTCACGGGGATAATGGCAGAGTCTAAGCAACCACCTGAGCAGCAGTAGTGTGAAAAGCCCTAACCAGAGTACCCCACGAGCCTGGGGATGGGCTGAGGCACCACCTTCCTCATGTATACCCAAACTAACACATTACTCTGAATCAGGGAATTTCAGGTGACTGGGGATGCACAGAAAAGGGGAGGGCAAAGGAGTCAGCTGTTCCTCCCATCACTGTCTTAGGCCAACACAAACTGCAAATTGGTAAGCAGCACCTTAATGCCTCTTGTGACAGTTACAGCTGAAGTAGCAGGGTCAAGTTTATAGGTATTGGCATCTCCCTTCTTATATCGATCCCTGAAAACGTAGATACTTCCATTACAGCTAGCAATCTTCCAGAGGGATGGGGCAGAGCTCCAGGCCTCGGGAAGACAAAGCCGGGTGAAGCTGTCTAGAAGGGGATTATAGCACACCAGAGAGTCCCCCTCAGCTACAATGAACACCAGATCTTTATGTACAGCTGCATGCATGCGGCCTGCAAAGGGCAGTACATAGGGCTTCACGTGGCACTTGTCAGTCTCTGTGTCAAAGCACTGGATAAGTCGGGAAGGTTTGGTAAAGAAGTCTAGATCATTCTCCTCGCCCCCAAGTAAGTAGATGATTCCATTGAGGTTGGCACCAGCAGCCCCAGATACAGCCACCTCTAACTGAGTTGTCTCTGTCCACACATTATCACCTACCCGATAGTAGATGACTGCATTGGAGAGGGTATCCTGCAGTGTTTTGCCACCCAGGGAATATATGGCATCTTTCCCAGGCACAGATACCAGGGTATGTTGGAGGCGGTCCCGGGGCAAAGGTGCACACCATTCCCAGTCAACGGTGGCATTGTTGCATTTCCACATACGCCGTGGGATGGACCCTCCCACTACATACAAGTCTCCACCATGCTTGCAGGCTGCAGTAATTTGGTGGCACAAGCTGTTTTGGCCACTTACACTGATGGAGTCATCTTCTGCACAGTGCAAGGACACAGCCAGTGAGTGGGTACGAGATGACTCTTTACCGATAAGGTAAATGTGCACATTCTCCCCAATTTCCTGTTGGCAAAATTGAAATTCTGACATCAGCTCATGTGAAGATTGCTAAGACAGGTATCCTTAATGGTCTGGCCTCACACATCTTGCTCCAACCTCCTCCCCTCCAGTTAGTATGATCACCCTGACTTTTTCTAATTACTTTCTTCTAAGCATTTTATGCAGGGGCAGAGAATCTTTTGTTCATCAGTTTTGTTCATTCAGTTTATTTACATATTTACTCAAACAAGATCTCGCTATGTAGCACAAACTGTCCATACTTAGGATTCTCCTGTTTCAGCCTTCAAGGGGGATCACAGGTGTGTACCACATCTGCTCTTACTGCTTTTTGTTTTTCAGTATTGGGAATTAAACCCAGTGCTTTATGATACAAGGCAAGCATCCTAGAAACTGAATTATATCCCAGGTCATCCCCTGCTTTTTTGTTGTTACTATTAACTCCCCCCCCCCCACTGGGTTTCTTTGCTTATCCTTGGCTGTCCTGGAACTAGCTCTGTAGACCAGGCTGGCCTTGAACTGAGAGATCTGCCTGCCTCTGCCTCCCAAGTGCTGGGATTAAAGGCTGTGCCACCACTGACAGGGTCTTATACTGGCTATGCTGGTCTTGAACCAACTATGTAGCTGAAGCTGATCCTCCTGCCTTCACATCCACCTCCCCATGTGTGGAGCCATAGCATCTAGCTAGAATGGTTAACTCAATGAAGAAAGCAGTTCTTGAAGATAGCATCAACCAGGCAGTTGGTGGCGCACACCTTTAATCCTAGCAGTTGGCAGGCAGAAGCAGGTGGATCTTTGTGAGTTAGAGTCCAGCAGCCTGGTGTACAAAGTGAGTTCCAGAACAGATAGGGCTGGGGTTTTTTTGTTTTTTGTTTTTTTTTTGGTTTTCTAGACAGGGTTTCTTTGTAGCTTTGGAGCCTACCCTGGCACTCGATCTGGAGACCAGGCTGGCCTTGAACAGATAGGGCTGTTTTACTGAGAAACCCTGCCTTGAAAAACAAACAAACAAAAAAAACAAAAGTTAGCATTAGAGAAGACAGTAAAAACACCATGAGTTTCAAAGCTCATAGACTGATGGCTTCTGGGATCAGAAAACACATTTGACTCTCCAGTTCTTATTAACTTCAAGCTGGTGACTAATCCGTGGTTATCAAAAGAGGCGAGGTCAGAGGCTTAGGAGATGGCTTAGGTGGGCAAGGGCACTTGCTGTACAAGCATGAGACCTGAGTTTGATCCTTGAAGCCCACATGGTGGAAGGAGAAACCTGACTCCTGCAAGTTGTCCTCTGACCCCCACACATACACCAAGAGACACACATTACCTGCTGCCAAAAAGAAGAAAGAGAAAGGGACACTGACGGATGGAGTGTACAGAGATTATGGTACCCTAATCCTCAACAAAGGCACCTCACCTTCAAGCTAGTCCTGAGTGACTCTGCAAAAGCCTCTCTTTCTTCTTTATTGAAATTGATCCAGGCTTCTATTGCCTCTGTTGGGTTCTGGGAACATGGAACCCCATCTGTGAGAGCCAAAGGGAAAGCATGATCAACAATAATATTACTGGGTTTGGTTTTGTTTTTGTAATTTTTTTTATGTGCATTGTTGTTTTGCCTACATGTATGTCTGTGTGAGGATGTCAGAAGCCCTGGAACAGGGTTAGAGACAGTTGTAAGCTGCCATATGGGTGCTGGGAATTGAACTTGAGTCCTTCAGAAGAGCAACCAGTGCTCTTAACCATGGAGCCATCTATCCAGCTCATTATTTTTGTATGTTTTGGTTTTTCCTGGCACTCATTCTGTAGACCATCCTGGCCTCAAACTCACATAGATCTGCCTGCCTCTGCCTCCCGAATGTTGGGATTAAAAGTGTGTGCCACTACTGCCCTTCATTAAAAAATATTTGACATGTTTTGCCAGCACATGTCTTTGTACCATATGCATGCCTGGTACCCATGATCAGAAGATAGCATCAGATGCCCTAGAAGTGGAGGTACTGACGGTTGTGAGCCACCATGTGGATTCTGGGAACTGAACCACAGTCCTCTGTAAGAGTAACAAGTGCAAGGGCAACAAGTGCTCTTAACTGCTGAGCCCTCTGTCCAGCTTCATCAATGACAATCTTTTTTGTTTGTTTGTTTTGTTTTTCGAGACAGGGTTTCTCTGTGGCTTTGGAGGCTGTCCTGAAACTAGCTCTTGTAGACCAGGATGGTCTAGAACTCACAGAGATCCACCTGCCTCTGCCTCCTGAGTACTAGGACTAAAGGCGTGCGCCACCGCAGCCGCCACCACCACCTGGCATCAATGACCATCTTAATGGGCTCTCAAGAGGAATCACAGCTGGGCATAGTAGCAAATGCGTTAAATCCTTGCACTTGGGAGGCACAGATATCTCTGTGAGTTCAAAGCCAGCATGATCTACATGGTGAGTGAAAGGAAAGCCATGGCTATGTAAAGAGACCCTGTCTCAAAAAAAACCAAAAAACAAAGACCTGAGTCACTTTATTAGACCACTATTATATGTATTTGTTTATGCATGTATCCAATTACATACGTATGAAGTTAACTTGAAACTACTCCACCACTAACATTTTGCAGTGTTGGGATCAAACACAGGGTCTCATGTACACCAGGGAAATGCTCTATGACCAAGTTACACCACTAGCCCTGGCTTGCTTTTTAAAAGAAAAGTGGATGGCATAATATGCTCCCACATGCTACAGAAGTCACCTATCAGGCTACAGAGCACACATGTAAAGTACAGTCCCACCTCACCTGCCAGGGCAGAACTGTTACCTAAATAATTGTACCCAAATGTTTCCTATTTTAGATAGCTTGACTTATCATCTATATCAATTTGTTTAAATAAATAATCCTGTAGGTACGGGGCAGATGAAAACATGAGGCACCTCTTACTTCCTTTTGTTGAAAAGTGATACAGCTTTTTGTTCTTCAGCTTTTTCTGTAAGGCACTCTGTCTCTTACAGCAGCTACCCTGATTCTCAACCTCAATCTAAATCTCTACCAGAAATGATAATATAAAGTTAACAACAGTTAGTTACATAATCTTGCGAGTCCTCCTGAGCCAGAATACCCACTGAAAATTACTCTTGCATAGTTGGGTATGATAAGCCCCTCCACAAACCGACCTGAGATGATGTCAGTGAGGAGATGGTGGGGCAAGTGGAGAAACTCCTCTGTGCTCTGCAGCTGGGCCAGGTGAGTCTTGGCACAGTGTTTGGCAGCAGTGTAGAGCTCAGGATCACTGTGCCTATCTGCAAGCCACATCACCTGAAGGCA